GTTGAATGTCAGTTTAGAAGATGAACTCGTCGAGTCATAGCCCAACTCGACGAGTAGAATCAGGGACCCAGGACAATTGTCTGGACAGGGACTCGGCGAGTGGAGATCCACTCGGCGAGTCGGGTCAACTAAAAGTTGACTTCGAATTGACTTAGGGCTAGACCAGGGGAAAAATGGTCTTTTTACCCAAAGGACAGTTAGCAATGTATGATTAAGTATATTGTGGGAATTACAGCCGGGGAGTTTCCGGAGCAGCAACAACAGTAGTAGGTGATCAATTCCCACACAGACCAGCAGCTATTTCGAGGTGAGTTTCCTTCCAGTAGTAACGAGTCTAAGGCACCAAGGCCGGCCCGTATAGACGAGACGTTAGTATTAGAGTGTGGGCCGAGCCCGTATCTCTTAGTTGAGTTGATTATGATATATGCCAGTATGATAGAATTGTTTACACTTGTTGTCTGTGCGATACTTGTATGATATGAGTTGGCGGTTGAGTGTGGGCGAGGCCCGTATCTCTCCGAGAATGGAGTGTGGGCTAGGCCCGTATCTCCCAGATAGCAAAGTGTGGGCGGGGCCCATATCTTCACGAGTGTGGGCGGGGCCCGTATCTCTCAGAAAGCGAAGTGTGGGCGGGGCCCGTATCTTCACGAGTGTGGGCGTGACCCGTATCTCCTAATTGCATGTTGTTTGTTAAATGCTTGCATGGTATGGGGTATTATGGGGGAGCTCACTAAGCTTTGTGCTTACGGTTTCAGTTTTGGTTTCAGGTACCTCCTCAGCTAGGGGAAAGGAGCCGACGCGGTAGCAGCATGTCACACACACACACACACACACACTCTCTTCGGTTTCCGCATTTACAAGCTTTTCTGGGATTGATACTCTGATATTCTGATTAGTTGTATGTTTTGGTTTTCAGACATGGTTCAGTTTATATTATGGACGATCGAATGATGTTTTAGTTATTAATATTTTCTAAAGTAACGTTTTTAAACAAAAAAAAATTTTGATGTGAAAATTGGGTCGTTACAATGTTGCTATTTTTTATTCAATTTAAATTGTTGTAGTTATCACTTTAGTTGTATCTGTACTGTTGTCGAGCCACTAGCAGAGCTTTTTTTGTTATCTATTGTCATTGTAAAAAAAACTTCTTTCATATAAAATATGTTTATGTTTATTATTTAATTATTTATATTTGTTATGTTTTCATTTCTGAACACAAGATTCTTTTTTAATTTATGTTTTCAATAAATCACTCCTCCTGTAGATAATGACCGTATTGTCTAAAATGCCCATGATATCTCTGATAGTTTGTTTTATTTACTTTTTTTTATAGTTTATTTTAGCATATTTCATTCGCATTTTAGTTAATTTCCATGCATATTTTACCTTTTATTATTTTTATGACCATTTCGGGTACTTTCTAGTTTCTTGAGCATTATTGCAGATTTTCTTGGAGACTAGCGGAGCAGGACTCTTGGGAGGAGATTGGACATGAAAGGCAAAAGGGATTTCGTGCTTGATGGCTATGGAGGTGATTCATTGAGTGGGTTGTCAATTGCTTGAAGGCGTGGAAGTGTTGAACTTTAAATTTGAAAGGCACGGGAAAATTCTTGAGTGTGCAAGATCGATGTTTAGGAGTTTGTGGAAGCTTTGAGTGATGTGGAGAGACAAATTGGGCTCAAATTGAAGAAATATTGAAGAAAAATGGGTTAGAAGCTGATTAGACTCGAACTGGGCCAATGGTTAAGCTGTGGGGGCCCAAATCTTGAAGAAGCCCAAAAACTCCTTCATAGTCACATGGCCCACGTAAGATTCCCCGCGACCCACGTGGATTCCTGACAAGGGCAAATTCAATATTTTGTCTAAAGCTCTATATTGGGAAGGTTGGTGTGCCTCTTCAGCCTTATCTTGGAGGTCCGAGTTTGACACTTTCTCTATGGAGTTTGGAGCACTTTTGAAGGCCAAGAACACCTTAAGAATATCTTCTTTTCATCTCTTGATTCTTGTCAAATGTTTGGTATAATCTTATCTAACCTTGTTTACTTGAGTTTAGCCATGCTTGGCTAAACAAATATTGGTTGACTTTTGTTGAATCCTTTAAACTTTTGTTGAATATTGAAGAATCCATGAACTTGTTTGTTAAATCTTTATGGAAATGTTTGTGTTTTAACATATTATCACTACTTGTATGTTTTAGTTCATGAGTTCAAATGTATTTGTGGTGATTAGTTGGCTAATTTCTTGACTAAGTAAAGAATTCTCAATTTGGCAAACAACAAATGATTTTTGTGTTGTTTTTGCTTCACACAATCATAAAAACATTTCCTCCAACATGGTGGTGAAAGCAATTGACCCCTCTTGGATTTGGTGACTTTTTGGTTTTTAATGCTAGTTAACTTTCACTAATTACATGCTTAATGGAAATTGTGACTTTGACTAAGGAAATTGTTATGAGCTTCTCTAACCATTTTAACAACTAAGAAAAGTCTACGTAATCTCAAGCTTCTTGGATTACTATAGCCAAATTAAGGATTTAAATCAAGTATTACATCATTGGATTCTAATGATATGTTCATCAAAAGTCAAAGTGAGGAAACCTTAAGTCAACCATCATTCTCTTATTGATTTTACATCATACTCTTATTTTTGTTGCAATTGTCTATTTAAATCATAGTTAATTCTAGTTTGTTTCAAGTATTTCAAAACATCAAAACCCCCATTTTTAATTTATTGTCATTTTTCAAGTATTTTTACAAAGAGATTTTTCATAGAGTTATCAAATTGAACCAATCTCCGTGGATTCAATCCCTTTACCACTATACACTATTTTAGTGTGTAATAATTAGGATTATTAATTTTGTTGGCTTCGACAACCACCAATCTCTAAGGTCCAATCCATGGTTGCAATTTTGCCTAAGTTGGTATTGTTGTGGATTGCTTTAATGAAAGTCTGAACTCTGAAGTTAAGGATGATTTGGTATTTTTTTTACAACCTTTATTTGTGGTCTCATAATTGTTGGAGGGCCTTAACATTTTTGTTGTTGTTGGAATTTTGATGCAAAATTGCATTTATGTGTTAGCCCGTAAAGTACAAAGTCTTTTTCAAAATAGATGTGTGATTTTGGTGTTGCTTTGATGCTAGTGTCACTGTTGAGTTTGTTGTTTTATACATTTATGATGTATATGTGTTTGTTGTTTTAGGTGATTTTTACAAGATTTTGGCTGTTATTATAAATATTTGAAAAAAATATATTGCACTTTTGTTTTATACATTTATGATGTATATTCGTTTGGTGTATTGTACTCTACAAATGTAGGGGCATATCGATTTTTCATCTTGCCCCGAGCATGAAATACCAATGGACCGGCCTTGCCAGTTTTTGTGGATGCCGTTTTGAGTTTTTTCGTATGATTATCATCAACGTATTGTTCTAATTGAAAGAAAAAAAATTCGCCAGTTTCCTCAACCTTATTTGTTGCAGCTCGTGTTCACCATTTGCGACCTTGTCATAGGTATTTTTTTTATCCCCTTAATTGCAACTCATATCACTCTAGTTTGGTATACGCATTAATTGGCTTTTGTAATCTCACATGATTCTCTTTTCAATCACAAACTTTTTACATTTAATATGTATTATATTAAATTTTGATTTGCTATTTTTATATGCTAGTTTTGTATACGTATTTTCTCACATGATTCATTTTTCAATCACATACTTCTTACATCCAATTACTGTTGTAATCAATTTTGATTTGATGTTTTTTTTGCTATAGTTTTTAGGTGTGTATCACAATCAGCTCCTCGTGTATTTTGATTTGTTGTTGCAATTTCCAAGAAACAGGTTCAATTTAGTGCATTATTCCAGATGAAGGCACAAGTAATATAATATCAAGACCATTTTATGCTACATGTTCAATATACATATTTAGTCTATAACACCTTCAATTTAGTGCTATGTTCCTGTTCCTGATCGGGTCTAGTCTGGCTGTTTTAAACTCTCACGTCTTTTTTGTGCTTTTTTTTTTTTTTTTTTTTTTTTTTTTTTTTTTCTGTTTGATAATTTTGTGTTCGGTGTCTTTTGTTTCCCCTCTATCCCCTTAGTAGAGGGTTTTTATATTATATAATATTGCTGATAAAAAAGAATTTGTTTGTTTCTTGATGCAGGACATACAAACCATTATTAATTTAGAAAACCAAGTAAATGATCAACCGTTTGAAACTGAAACACATACAGCTGAAGATATTGACATACATGGTCATTTGGTATCTGAAACTGAGAAAATAACTGATGTGGATGCAAGTCTTATATGTGATGACGATGAAAGTAATGATACAATTATCATGGGAAAGGTATTCAATATACCGCATGATGCATACACATTTTATAACCGTCCATCTTGCGGGGGAATATAAACGATGATTCTAGAAGATTGGAGTTATTTAGTTTTAATCTTCCTACTATTTAGGATCTATTGATGTATTTCTATAAGTTAGCAATTAGCCTATTCCTGTAATCTAGCAATTAGCCATATTTGTTTACTTCACCTCCGTGTATATATTTTGTATTATTATTCTCTTTAAAATATAACAAGGTTTATACTTTTATACAAATCGTTTTTAAAAATATATCTTAAAAATTTACGAGAATGGATGCTCTTAATATAGTTGTCAAAAACAAATCCATTAACCGAGATTAGTTAGCTATTCGCAAACAAAGTTCTCAAAAACAAGAACATTAAACGTCTACTGGTCTTGTTACGTGAAAAATCCTAAAATCGAGAATAAAATAACACATTTTTATATTTGAGATAATCAAGATAGTAAGCTTCAAGGATAATTTAACCTCGCTAGCTAGTTTCTCAAAATGTGATAATCAAACGGTATTTTACAGCCTTTATTTGTATAAAGATTAGGGAAGATTGTGCTAACATAGAAACTAACCATAAGAAACAACATATAGGATTTACCAGGAGAACATATATAGTAGAGTAACTAGAGACTAGTAACCGGTAACAGAGAAGGAACATGGACATGGAGGTTCTGCCACCTCAATTCCTCCTTCAAGCATCTGGATGACCTTCCTCATGGTTGGCCTCATGGATGAGTTCTCTTGTACACACCACAGGCCAACCATGACAAAAGTTGCAAGTTTCTTGTAGTCATCCAATGCCTCCAGATCGTTCTCAACAAATGTATCCAATCGACCTTCTTGATAGTAATCCCATGCAAGATCAGTTAAAACTGCCACCCCTTTCTCACCACTCTCGTAAACCAAGCTCTTTCGGCATGAAATGATCTCTAGCAGCAACACACCAAAGCTATACACATCAACTTTTACTGTGACAGGCATCTGCCTAAACCATTCAGGAGCAACATAACCTTTTGTTCCTCTTATTCCAGTGTTTGTATGACTTTGATTCATCATCAAAAGCTTTGCCAATCCAAAGTCAGAAATCTTAGCATTCAAGTAATCATCAAGAAGTATATTCTGAGGCTTTATGTCACAGTGAATGATCTGGGTGCTACACTCTTCATGAAGGTATGCGAGTCCCTTAGCAATCCCAACAGCAATATAAATCCTCTGTCTCCATGTAGGCTTCGTTTCTGCAAAAAGATACTCCGCTAAAGTGCCATTGCTCATAAACTCATAAACCAATACCCGCTGCTCACCATTATCACAGTACCCAAGAAGCTGCACCAAATTTTTTTGATGAGTCCTTGCAATAGCATCAACCTCGGCTTTGAATTCCTTTTCACCATCTTGAACAACCGTATTTAACTTCTTCATAGCCACTGTCCTTTTTCCTATCACACCTTTGTAGACTGTCCCAAAAGCCCCTTTCCCCAATTCATATTTGAATCCTTCCGTAGCTTCAACTAGTTCTTGAAATGTAAACCGAGGCAGATTGGTTTCAACATCATTACTATTTGAATATGTGTTTCTCGGTTTCTTCTTGTAGATTACAAAGAAACCCACACAAATCACACCAATCAACACAAAGATTACAAACACAGAAGTACCTAAGAGAACCGATCCAACAACTATCAGACTTCTTCCATCATTTTTTTCTCCGGGGAGCCCAGGAGGGATTTGAGGCGGAGGACCACCAATCCGGTATTTCACAAACGGCTTCACACCTGCAGTCATCCTCCCATTAGAGAGTGGAAGCCTCTTCCTCCAACATTGGTTGTCCCAGTATACTGCAACAGCACAGAAACAGTCTACCAAGCAGGCGCTTTTGCAGGTGTCTTCATCACTCGGGGCCATTTTCACATAGTCTGAAAATGGCCAATCAATATTATCAAGCTCGATGAAATCAAACAGGTCTTCCCCATTATTGGACTCAACTTGATCACATGTTGGAGTGAAATCAGGCTTGCAATCACCACTGGGATTATTTGGATCAAGCAATGAGAACCCCTGTGGGCATTCACATTTTCGGCGGTTACCATCAAGGCTGCAAACATTGTTATACCCACAAGCTCCGCTATCCGTCCTCATACGGATATTACATATGTTTTCTGGCATAAACGATATTACTTCCCAGCTTGTATTGCCAGTTGCATTCTTAGGGTGGTAGTATTGACGAAAAACCCCATCATAATCTAGAGTAGCTCTATAATAATAATAATCTCCAGAAGGAACTGTGTCTCTTTGTGTAAGACCAAATCTTTCGCCATTTCTTTTCAATATATAAATGCATCCCATTGCATCATAAATCACTTTCTCACCGGAATTTGTGGAATTGGCAGCATCAGATGTGCCACTGGAATCATAAACATCATAAGCATTACCTGAAAGTATATCTCGAGTGTTAAGAACAAGATTTCCATCTTGTTGGAAACGTAACTGGAATCGTCCACCCGAGAAATTTGTTGCACTGATTGTTGAATTCATCCCTCTATCTGTCTCCATAACCTGAGTAGGCAACAAGGTGTTTGCTGGAAAATCAAAACTACCCCATAACTTGCGAGAATTGCTACCAAAAACCACAAAGTTACCTGTATCATTCATCAGACCTGATGCAACAGCGGAAATGGACCCAGATCTCCATACCTATGTTCCCTGAGGATCACTCAGTACGAGTCCACTTGCACGAAGTAGCTCAACTTTGGATCCAGTAGGCACCATCCGACCTTCTTCTGGATACCAGATGATCGTCTTGTCAGGTATCTTGTCATACCATATGGATAACAAGAAATTATCGTTCCCTTGAACTTGTTGGAACCCAAAGGCAAATTCACCTGAAGATGAAAGCCATGGCTTGACATCGGGTGTGGCGGTGAGTGATGCACCAACAGATACAGAACCATCATTCTGTTGTGCAGCTATGAAACGTAGGAAAATAGTTAGCAAGAGGAGACGCAATTGGGCTAGAGCCATATGAAATTGGTGGAATGATGGACAACAATGATGAAATGAGGATTTAATGAATAATAAGATTGTCGCTTTAAGGTCAACAGAAAAACTTTTGGAGTCTACAACTAATGCAACAAGTCTCTTGTCGGGAGGAATTCATGATTGGTCTTTATTGTTCCTTTCCTTGTCATGACAATTGTTGACCATTTCCTTCGCATTTTCTTAGGTTTTATGGTTCCTTTCCTGGTAATGACAATTGTCAATCAACGGAAAACACAGACGACAGGACATATACAATCAGCCAACTAGAAAGCAAGACGTAAATTAAACCAAAGACCATTTCTTGCGTATGTCATATGTGACGTTATTTTTTCAAGATGATACAAACGTTTTACAACCGGTCCTATTACATAGACACCACTTTACTCTCTCTCTCTCTCTCTCTCTCTCTCTATATATATATATATATATATATATATATATATATATATATATATATATATATAAGGTTAGGTTCATTTGAGACCACCTATATTTGTGAGACCGTGAGACGCATTTTTTTATTTTTTTTATTTTTTTATAGTTAATTCATGTTCCTAAAATAATATTTAAAAAAAGAGTTTTTTGATTTTTCCATTTATTTTGCATTTTAAAATTATTTTTAGAATATGTACAGTGTAATATATTCTATTTAGAATATTTCACGTATTTTTCAAAAAAAAAAGGGTTTTTTTTTATTTTGTTTTTAGTTTATTCAAGTTCCGAAAATAATATTTAAAAAAAAGAATTTTTAGATTTTTCCATTTATTTTGCATTTTAAAATTATTTTTAGAATATATAAGTGTAATATTCTATTTAGAATATTTCACGTATTTTAAAAAAAAAACGGGATTTTTTTTAATTTTTTTTATTAATTCAAGTTCCGAAAATAATATTTAAAAAAAGAATTTTTGGATTTTTCCATTTATTTTGCATTTTAAAATTATTTTTAGATTTGGTCTCACGGTCTCACAAAATTAGAATGGTCTCAAATGAACCTGAATATATATATATATATATATATATATATATATATATATATATGTATATATATATATATATATATACATCAAATGAAGAAGAAAACTGAAGGCAAAAGCATCAGACTTAAAATACGTCAAATGTACACATAGCAGGAAAATTAACCAACTTGTATCAGTTTCAAATTGCAGGAAATAATAACGTACATTTTTACTATTAGGCTGGAGGGAGTAGCTCGCTAAGGGCGCCAAGTCCACTCCCTAAGATGTGCTAAGCAAGTCGCAAGGTGAAACCCGCTGCCTTATTAGAAAGAGGAAAGAAAAAGTTGTGAAGAGAATAAGGGATTTTGATTGGTCTTTTTAATTTGTTTTTTCTTTTGTTCATATCAGATACCTTTTCATTGGTTTTTTAGATGGAAGGTAAAAATGATGTTAATGCGTGACTATTATAAACATGTACCTAAATATTTTGGAGTTACAATGCCTTATCTTTAATTTTAAAACACTTTGACATTTGTTTAACCAATTTTTTGTTGGCTATTGTTTTACAAGAAAAAAAGAGGAGATTTTTTTGCACATCGGTGATTCGTTACGGCTGCTATTTATGGACACGGAGAAAAAAGACACATTAGTCTTTCAAAGAAACCAACTTATATTGTGCACATGAAAGTACATGCCTTTATTTGACAAAACATAAAAATACATTTCCATTTTAGAAATCACTAACCCATCGCCCAGAGGGGTTACTAAAAACATACACAAAAACCACCAAACATTTACTTTGTGAGATAATTATTGAGATACACAATGAAGTCGTAAATCTTGATTGGATCATCAAGAGACTTTGCCACACTTTCCTTTTCTGAACACCTTTTGGCCCATGAAACTAAAATCGGACACTCTTCTTCAATGCTAAATTTACCAAAAGTTTCCCATGTATAAAATCTACTATAAAATGGTATAAGTGATATGTCAACAAACCCTAAATTGTCACCACCAAAAAAGGGTTTGTTTCCAAGTTCCCCTTCAACTAATTTCAAGATTCTTAGCACATTTTTCTTGCCACTCTCTTGTTCTTCCCCTTTGCATCGATATATCTTCCTGCTTGCTTCATATAGCTACAAAGCAAAAGTTAATCATATTAGTTCAAAGAGTAATTTTAATCATTATATGTAAGAAAATTTGAATTTAATCGAATAATAATTTAATAATAATGTAATAACTTAAAGGAGATACTCTAACAGATGAAAATACTCAAGTAGAATCGAAGGAAGGAAGATGATTAGATAAATACCTCTTTGTCGATGAAATCAGCCCAAAATCGAGCTTGTGATCTCTCATATGGATCGGAAGGAAGGAAGGAAGCTGATCGATCGCTCCAAACCTCGTCGATGTACTCCACTATGTTTAGTGATTCACATACGGATTTTCCATTATGAACGAGTACTGGAACTTTGTTATAAACAGGATTGATTGTAGAGAGAAGAGGGGATTTGTTGAACAGATCCTCTTCTTTGTATTCGTAAGGAATTCCCTTCTCTTCCAAAGCAATTTTGACTCTGCACCCAAAGGGACTTGACCAGAAATTCACCAAAATGAGTTCCTCCTTCACCATGTCTGAAAGAACTTTGGGAGGAATGGGGGTCAGCGTCAGTTGGGGTTTGGGTTATAAGGATGAATCATATTTCACTTAGACCCCCTTGTATTATCATATTTCACTTAGACCCCCTCGTATTATGGCTTATATATAGATCGATGCTCGTCCAAGTTTTCAACTTTTCATCGTGAATAAAACAATTTAGAATCTTTTATCTTAATCTTCTAATATTTTCTAATCTTTTTTCTCTAATAAATGAGATTTTTTTTTTTTTTTTACACTTTTATTTATTTTACCACATGTTATTGTATGGTTATTTAGAATTATTTTTTATTCCATATGTAATTTTTTGGTTTTTCTATTTTATTAAGTTTCATATGGTATTTAAATTTAATAATAAATACATATCAATTTCATTAATGAATTTTCTTTATAATTTCAAATTTTAAAAATAAAATCTCATTAATTTGCTTTGATTATGTTATCTAAAGGGTTTGTTTAAATTTAAAAGAGAAAAAGAAAACATTTTAATTTTAATAATTCAATATTTTCTTATTTTTCTTATAAATTCAAATTTCTCAAATGTTTATATATATATTTAATTGTTTTAAATACACTCATGTAATACATGAGGCTCACACCTAATCTATCTTAATAAATAAAAATGATTTTGCCACATGTTTTCTTCTTCTTAATTTTGACACTTGTTATTTTTAGATTCTTTTGAATTTTTTAATATCCACTTGTTATTTTTATAGTTTTTTTCCTTTTTATTCAAATCTCACCTATTAAATGTCACCTCATATTAATAAATTTTATAAATATATTAATTAATGTACATAATAACTTTTTATTTTTGAATTCCTCTTTCTATTAATATATTAATTAATGTATATGTATATTAATTAATATAGATAGTAATTTCCATTTGTGAATTCATATTAATTAATTTCATTAGTATAGATTAATTAAGATCAAATTACATAAATAGTCCATGCAGTTTACCAAAATGTCACAAACTCAATCGCTACTTATTTTTTTATGAACAAGATCTTTGTGGTTACCAAAACATCTTTTTAATAAAGGGAGCTGATTTGTACACAACAATTTTTTTTTTCATACACAACAATTTATGCTTTAAAATGTTGTATTGTACAACCCTATTAAACATAAAATGTTGTGTAAGGATAAAAACGGTTGTGTACAAATCACTTCCCTTTAATAAACCCGTGTAATACATAAGTTTTACACCTAGCCTATCCTAATAAATATAAATGATTTTGTCACATGTTCTCTTCTCCTTAATTTTGACACTTGTCATTTTTAGATTCTTTTGAATTATTTAATATTCACTTGTTATTTTTATATTTTTTTTCTTTTTTATTCAAATCTCACCTATTAAATGTCACCTCATATTAATTAACTTTATAAATATATTAATTAATGTACATAATAACTTTTTATTTTTGAATTCATCTTTCTATTAATATATTAATTAATGTATATGTATATCAATTAATATAGATAGTAATTTCCATTTGTGAATTCATATTAATTAGTTTTATTAGTATTGATTAATTAAGACCAAATTACATAAATAGTCCATGCGGTTTACCAACATATCACAAACTCAATCGTTACTTATTATTATTATTATTTTTTTTTTTTATGAATATGGTCTTTGTGGTTACCAAAACATCCTTTTAAAAAAGGGAGCCGATTTGTACACAACAAAATTTTTCTATACACAATAATTTATGCTTTAAAATGTTGTATTGTACAACCCTATTAAACATAAAATGTTGAGTATGGATAAAAACAGTTGTGTACGAATCACTTCCCTTTAATAAACCTGTGTAAGACACGGGTTTTACACATAGTACTCTAATAAATGAATGTTTTTTTTATCACATATCACCCTCTCATTCAATTTGTCAAATGTCATTTTATGGTTATTTTGATTTTTTTTCCACATGTCATTTTATTAGTTTTTGTTTATTTTATTAAATTTCACATAATCTTTTAATATAATAATTACAATAAATATTGTAATAAATGGATATCAATTTCATTAATAAACTTACATTTTAATTTCAAGATTTATAAGTTAAAGCTAATTAGTTTATTTTGTTTATTTATTTAAGTTATTTGTTTATCCTTAAAAGATAAAAAAAAACATTTTTTTTAATAACAAGAATTTTATAGAAAACAAGCTAGCAAGAATTTTATAAAAAAACCAAGGTTCTAAATGGCGTGAGGCGTGGCATGGCGGCATGGTCAAGCCTCAAGCTTAACGAGCCATGGCGAGTCATGGCGTTTTTCAAGGTGTGGTGTAAGGCGGTGATTTTGTATTAATTTAAAATTATATTACCACATAAATATAAATTTATATTAAATATAACTACTTTTTATAAGTGTTAGATCAATAACTAGTTATAAAAATTTAACGAAAACCACAATATCTGTATCTCCGATTAGAAAAGATATAACAAAGAGCAAAAAACCGTGTCTCAAACGAAAAAACACGCGCCATAACACGTCATAACGCGCCATAACACGCCTAACAGCAACGTTATGAGGCTTTTCGTCATGGCGGAGCCACACCTCACGTCATGGCGCGCCTTTTAGAACACTGAAAAAAACAGTATAATTATAATAATTTTTTATTTTCCTTATTTTCTTATAAATTCAAAGTTACCAATGTTTTGATATTTATATTTAACTTTCTTTTTTAAATTAACTCATATAATACATTGGTCTCACAACTAGTATGATTATATTGTAAGCTAAAACCCATTTATAACACGGTTGAAATAATATCAAAAAATATCTTTAATTTCAAATTTAGTTAATTTAAACATTCTTATTAACTATTATGTTTAATTTTAAATCTAATTAATCATAAGAAATATTGCATAAGGAAATTGATGGGTTCTTTTGTTTTTTTTTGTCTAAAATAACTATTTCATATTATTAGTTTGTTAAATCTAAAAGGAAAAGATGTAACTAAAAAAATAAACAAAGTGAAACCCAATAATTGATAAATAAGTGATTATATTTCAAAACCATTACATAATGAAACTTAGCAATACTTTCGCACTTCATAGGTTAACAAATTTTGCTATTGACATCCAGTGTTGCAAAACTTGGCCTATTCAACCCTCCACCGAGGCGAGTTATGTGAACTCGGCAAAAAAATTCAGGTTAAGTCAAAATCGGTCAACCTCAGTCAAAATCTCTTTAACTCGGCCCTACTCAATCAACAAAGTCAAACTCGGCCTACTCAGTAAAAAGGTCAAAATTGTCATAGAAAGAAAAAAAAATAAAGAATTTCAAGATTAATAGGTATAATACACTTAATGATTTATTATTTAACACACATGTATCAAATTTTGTTATATATTTCAATCAAATTATGATTTTAACTTATTATTTTAACATATATAATTTTCCTACAAATATTTCTATATGAATTACCGAATCTGAGTACTCCTGAGTACTCGTTACTCGGCAGTCGACCGAGCAGGCACCGAGTAGCGAGTTCTACAGCCTTGTTGACATCTCATGTTGACAAAAATATGTCAATCCCATAAAGATGTATCTAAAAAAATTAAAATACGATGTTAATATGAGGTCATAGAACTTTTCCGTGAAATGATGTTATATTTGTCTTAATATTTACACTTGAAAAAAAGTAGTTTGTTAATTTTCCAACAAAATCGTTTCCTTGGTCAGAGGTCTATCAAACTAGGCAATAATGTTCGTCTTCATAACTTCCTCATACGAAGTCAGATTTGGGCGTTCTTTTTATCGACGCTCTTAGTTTAACATATTCTAAGAATTTCATTTAGATCACTAAGGCTAAAAAGTCCTCCATCATAAATTCACTATTTACGCTTCCCGGTGCCGTGCCGGTTCCGTCGTGAAACTTCGACGGGCCATAACTTCTTCGTTATAACTCGGATTTCGACGTTCTTTATATGTACGGAAACCTTGTGATATATTATATAACTTGGTTAAGATTATTTATTCTAAATAATCTTTTGTCCAAAATTCATTTTCGACCTCTATTGCTTTTAAATTGACTAGCCCGGATCTGCGGGCGTTACAATTATCTCCCCCTTAGGATGATTACGTCCCGGAATCATCAATGAAACAGGGCTCGTATAACGACTCCATACGTCATCTCTTCATCCTAGGTAATATTTATAACTTTTTTTTTTCATTCCTTCAAGTCTATCTCTTAGATTTATTGACTGTAAGCAGTACTTGATCGTGCACCTGCTCTCTACCTCAGGTTAGATTCCAAATTACGACCTATCATCATGTGATGCACGTTTAGACTCAGGTCTCTTAGAGTTAAATTCTAAAATAGACTATGCCTTCCTTCATGTTCTAATGTGATTGTAGCACCTGGTTTCTGGTATGTAAATCTTAATTGAGTATTTTCCTTTTTAAGCCTTGGACTCGGCGAGTCATAGGTCCGACTCGCCGAGTAGGGACGGGACCCCGGGACGCGTTTAAGTTGGAGACTCGGTGAGTCCATATCCTGGACTCGGCGAGTCACCACTGTTGGATGAAACCCTAAGTTTCTGGGGTTTGCACCCTATTTAATCCCCCTTTCCGCCCCAGGCCAGCCCCCATTCACCCCCTAGAGCTTCCAACGCTCGTTTAAGCTTGTTCTTTGAAGAGTTGAAGCTTTTGTTGTGTGTTCTTGAAGGTTTTGAAGAAGAAGGGAAGTAGATCCAGAAGAAGGGAAGCCATCCAAGCACCATTGTGTTCTCTCAGCAGTTTCTTTGAGGTATATCCCATTTTCCCCATGTTTCTATGCTTAAGGCTTCATTCAAGACATTCTTGGCTCATTTCCAAGCTTGTATGGGCATGATAATTCGAAATAAGTTGATTGGTCTCTAGATCCAAGCATAGTTGAGCTCCAGGAGCTCAGATCCACTACCTTTATGAGCCCATATTGCATATAAACCTTAGATATACTCTTTTTGTGCATTTTAAACCCTAAAGACCCCATAGATGGATATCTACACGTAAAGTTGGAAACTTTAC